GCGACCGCGGACCCGGGCTCCATGCCCCCCCGACACAGACTCCAGGGGCCTCCCCCCCACGCCCCCCTCCCGAACTATTTATGGGAGGGGAGGGGTTTAAACCGGCCTGCCCCACGCCCCAGCCCACTGGGGAGAGAGGGTTGGACACACCCAGCGGCCGCTCAGTTTGGCGTCTCCACCCACTGCTCAGCCACCTGCAGTAGGTGCACAGGGGCTGGGGACCAAAAGGCCGGCTGACCCCTAGTGGGTCTGGCCCACGAAAGCTCATCACCTAATAAACCATCTTGTTAGTCTTTAAAGTGCTACACAGTCCTGGTTTTTGTTCCCCTCCCTTGCTGTGCTGGGAGAGGCTGGTTTTATGTTCAGGCAGCCACACCAGCGGGGAAAACCTCCTCACCCCAAGCAGGGCAGCCCACTGACAGGGTCAGTGCGAAAGCAGGGGGGCCCTTCTTTCTTGCCCATCCCACCTCACTGATGCCCCTTTCCAAACAGAGCGTGGTCAAGCCAAAGGCTGCAGAGCGAATTGATACAGTATCTGAAACGGCGACAGAGACTAGGCGTCCAGGGAGGTTTGGCCCCTGTGGCATCAGCCTTACTGGGAAACAAAAGGACGGAAACAGTAATTGATCTCCCAGGAGCGCGTGTGGGAAATAGACATAAATCCAGCCAGGGGGATAGGCAGGTCTCAGAACAGCAGCCACCCAAAACACTGGACAGAATGGACCAACGATAGAATCCTCTGGTGGGTGCCCATGTGTGTCCACATCCTGGGCTAGGAGTCAGGAGCTCTGCGTTCCATTTCTGCTCCATCACAGACACCTCACTGTGCCCAAGAGCAAATCAGCTCCTAACTTCCACGGAAATTCGTCCTGAATGCATTTGAAGAGCTGGGTCTTAATCTCTCAGTGCCCCCTTTCTTATCTATCAAGGGAGATGAGAACATTTCCTTTGTCTATTTCCACAGTAAGCTCTTTGGGGCAGGAACTCCTTGTATGTACAGCACCTAGCACCCTGAGGCCTCTCTACAATAATAAACCCCCGGGGCTTGGTGGAAGTGAAGTGTTACATGTTCTGAGTGTCTTGCAATGGTTTGTTGCAATTCTTTGCTGTCTAATATGGATAGGGCCTTGGTGTGGGCACCTGTTGGGTGTGGAGAGAGGCAGGCTGGATTTAAATAAAATGAGAGTTTCCCCAGTGAGGCTACGGCAGCATTAGAGAGTTTAGGCAGAGGCGCAGCAGGGGTGCAGCTGTAAGCTCTCTAAGGCTTTGGCTACACTTAGAAGTTGAAAGCGCACCTTTACACCACCTCCATGAGGAGTGTAGCTAAAAGTGCTGTGAGTCTGGCTCCCAGCGCTGTAGCCTAGTTCACACTGGTGCTTTACAGCGCTGCATCTTGCTGTGCTCAAGGGGGGTGGATTTCCACACCCCTGAGCTAAAAAGTTACAGCGCCGTGAAGTGTCAGTGCAGGCATAGCCTAAAGTAACCCCTCTAGACCAGGAAAGAGCTCTCCCATTGGCTTAACCACATCAGCCCCATGAGAGGGAGTAGCTAGGGTGACAGGAGAAATTCTCCTGCCCATGTAGCATTGTCCACACTGGCACTTTGGTTGGTGTCACTTGCATGGGGGAGGGAGTTCCAAATGTAGGCAGCCCTTGAGTTTCAGTTTCACTGAGGGGCCCTGGCAGACAACAGCACAAAGGGGCCGCATGGACCTGTCACTTCCTGCTTCACACCTGGCCTCCAACAAAGCAGAGGAAATGACAGAAAATGGGATAATGGCTTCAGGGAACAGAGAGTAAAGAATACACAGGTCTGTCCTTTACCCTGCTGTCTGTTAACAGCTGCCCTTGGGCCCCAGCTGCCCTCGCTATTGTTTAAGTCCCAATTTGACAAAGCCCTGGTCCTGCTTTTAGCAGGGGGCTGGACTCGATGACTCTGGTGGTCTCTTGCAGCCCTGGGATTCTAGGATTACAGCAAGGTGTTGCCTATCACTGTTTTACCTCCCTCAAACCTTTCAGATCAGAGTGGCTGTCTGGCCATGTGTATTTTCTAAGTGTAAAACCCTGCACCTTGAGGGGCAAGGGGGAGAGAGGCTACTGGCCTGTGAAGGTATGGCCCAGAGCAAAGCACTACACTACATCTTGCATCATCGTCAGTGCCCTTCGGTGCTTGCATCACATCGCATGCACTTCTGTGCGCATCATAACAAAGATGGGCACGTAGTATGTGCAACCCTGCAGCTGTGCCACTTTAATGCTGCCTGTTTGTCACTACTGATAATTAGTCAGGCCCCAGGCCTACTCACTCTGAGGCCCAGACCCCTAATGAAGTGTCAGGCCCTTAAATACCTTGTGGATTTGGGCCTTAGGTACTTGCTTCACCGCAGTACATAAGTAGTGCCAAAGGGCTTAAGGGATTTAGGTGTCTAAAATCCTCTGATTTGCTGGAACTAGTCCTGTGCTTACGCAGAAGCATGCCCCTAAGAGTTTGCAAAATCAGGGCCTTACTGATCATGGGCTGTTTGAATGTACTGTGCATGAGCGAAAAGCTGTGTTGGGTTTTGCCAAGGCACATTATTGCACAGCAGTCCAGAACAGAAAGCTGTGAAGAGCAGCTAGACTAGCACATACAAAGATGTTCGCTTTAATTCAGGTTTAATGGCCCCACACTCAAACCACTCACAGAGCCCTAGATCCTGAAAAGTATTTAGGCCCCTAATGCCCACTAAACATCAATAGAAATACCTTTGAGGATCTGGACCCAAGTGCTAAAACGTTTGCAAGACAAGGCGGGTGAGGTCATGCCTTTTGTTGGCCCAACTTCTGCTAGGGAGCAAGACAAGTTTTGGCACTTACAGAGCTCTTCTTCAGGTCTGGCAAAGGTAGAAGGGGCCCGGCTAAGTACAAGGTGAAACAGACTTTAACAGGCACAGTTAACACCTTTCAGGGAGCTGTTCAAAGTGAAGTATCCTGTTAACACCTCTCCAGACATGGGGAAGAGAAGGAAAAAAGAGTCCAGAGGTGGGAAGGGGGGGCAGGGCTAGTTGGGGGGGTTAATGGATTGTTACAATAGGCTAGCGAGTGGGCCTCAGGAGTGACCCTCCATCTCAGGGACTTGCAAGACTGTCATAACCAAGATGGGGTCTCCTGGGACAGGGCAGTTCTGCTAACTGTACTGGCATACCTAGATTTGCAGGGGGTGCTGACTGAATGGTAGCAGCACTGTGATTGGCTGCAGAGGGAGCGCAGGGCTCTATAGCGAGTGCTGTGTGCAATCAGCATGCCCTGGCTTTGCCAGCATGTTACTTTAGTAACACCGGTAGGAAGAAACTATGTGAATGGAAACCAGCAGAGTCTGGGCATCCGTAATTTCATCTATGCCATCAAATGCCAGCAGTGCCCCACTGCTATATATATTGGACAAACTGGACAGTCTCTGCAGGAAACAATCAATGGACACAAATTG